GGGACACACACAAGGCACTTCCATGGAAGATTCTATCCTAAACAGGACAAGGGGTTATATTACAAAGGAACAGGTGAGCATAGCTTCACCCATGGGGTTGTAGCAAGGCACACCCATTTCTGTGACTGAGCACCTCAGCACCCAGCTGGGGAGTGTAATTCAGTCACCTGTAAGAGTTGGCCTCCCACAGAGCACCCACGATGGCCATGGTGCACCCCCCCCCCCCCCCCAAGTCTGATCTGGGCTCACAGTTCACCTGTTTGGGCCTCTGTTTTCTCCTCGGCCAGACGAAGTGACCATCTCACTTGCTCCCTGGGGCTGTGGGAGGAGAGGGGAAGGTGCCACAGCCCTTTGCCCTGTGCCTGGAACCGCATAGGTGCAGAAAGTGTAGGTCCTGGTGACAGACACAGGCCACTCTGCACTTCTCCATGGGTGTTTCCCATCCAAGATTAACTGTCCTGGGTGAGGCTGGTCAGGAGCTCTGCCCAGGTGCCCTTCTGCCCAGGGGGCTCTTCATGATCTCATCCAGGTCTGCAGAGGATACAGTACTATGGTCAGAATGTCTGTGTCCCTCAAACCCTGCATGTTGAAATCATCATCCTAAGGTGGGGGTCCCAGGAGGTAGGGACTTGGGGAGGTGATAAAGTCCTGAGGGTGGAGCCACCTGGGTGGAATTGATGCCCTTGTGAAAAGGACTGCAGAGAGCGGCCTTGCCCCTTCCACCTGGCAAGGACTCAGTGACAAGGTGCCAATTATGAAAGTGAGCCCTCAGCAGACACCAATCCAGCCTGGTCTGAGACTCCCCAGCCTCCAACACCGTGCAGATAGGTCTGTTCTTTCCGGCCACCCAGCCTCTGGGAGTTCTTCTAAGCACCCAGACAGACTCAGGCTCAGCTCTGGTCCCCTGAGGGCCAGGGAAGGTCTCCTCCCTGTTCTGTCTTATCTCCTGGTTCTCACCCACCCTGCTTCCCCTGCTCTCGTTTCTACCTTCAGTAGATGTTTTCAAGCTCAGCTTGGAGAGTAAGGTAGAAATGGCCTTCTCTGGACCAAGTTAGAGTTAGATTCTTTTCCATGATGGTCCGTCATCGTATTCATTTTGCATATTTCTCCAGTTACTCAAGCTCAAGAGCCCAGACTCCTCAACAACTTTGCAGACTTCTTCAGACTACTGAGTGACCTTCACTTGGCCCAGTGCAAGGGGATCATTATGGAAGCACAATGTTATTTGAGTATAAGGGATGGCTCTGCTGGCATGGTGAACCTGGACCCAGGTGTCGTGAAAGCTTGCCAATAAACGTGAGTTGAACTTCCTGTTACAAAGTGGAGTGTTTGTAGTTGAGCCTTAATTTGCTATTTATGACAGCATAAAGAGTAGGCACTCGGATTTGTCCTGATGTGTAGAGGCAGACCCACAGCGGTGACAGGAGAGGACACACATGACAGTACCTGGTGGGGGCACTGTCATGGTGATTGAAGTTATTATTATTGAGGTTGTTATTATTAATGGTAGTTCTTTCCTCTACCACTCAATTCCAGATACCCAGAGGTGCACTGTGAAAACACACAGGGAGCCCTCTTGTGTGGTTTGGCTGTGTTTGGAGAGCCGGCTTATTCCCCAAGTTATTTTCCATGGCCGCCAATCTCCTGGGCTGCCAGCTGTGCCTCCTCTGGGTTGGAGCAGACTGAATGCCCCTCAACCATGTCCCACTGGGAAAGGCGGCTGCAGAATTCTATCTTAATATACTCGTGTCAGAATTTGGGGTCTTATTATCCCCATTCAGATAAAACTCTGATTTATAACTCTCTGTCCCTTTGTTTAACGTATGACCACAAAGGCTGTGGTCACAAAGTCTGGTCCAGTTTTGCAAGCAGACCCTACTCATTGATGCCCAAGCTGAGATATTTCTACTTTGGGCAGAAGCTCTCCACTCTCCAGTTTGGCCCCATCAGTCAGTTGCCTCCCCATGGTGTTTTCCGAAGGTGTTCCTTGGAATACGGACTGTTATGTAGATTTATTAAGTTAGAGGTTTTCTTCTGTTTTAAGGTGGAGGTGAAATGGGTGGGCATAGAACCAGTTCTGTGGACCTGCAGCCCACGTGCTCAGCGGTGGGCTCCTCTGCTGCCTTCCTGGCCTGGGGCTCAGGAAAGTTCCTTGGCTGTGGACTCCATGCAGAGGAAGCTGCAGAACGAGTGGCCTTTCCTTCATGCTCTGGAAGTTCACTGCCTTCTGCATGAACTGTCCTTAGTTTCTTCCCATGACTGGACACACTGCATCTGTGTCCATCTGTCCATCCCTGGCACTGGGCTGCTGCACAGACATCACGTGTAAGGAGGGAGATCAGAACAGCTCTGGGTTCGGGGGCCCTCTGCAGACCTTCTTTCTCACCCCATCCCCAAGGGGGATTGGGTTCACCCAGGTTTGGGGAAACCTGTTCCCATTCTCCCTGCTGACTGTGGGACCGGCTGGTGAACCCAAGACAGGTCCCAAGAGGCATCTGCAGCCTGCAGAGGCCCAGGCCACCCAGCAGGCCCCTGTGCCCTGAGAATAGCGTCGTGCCTCAGGAACAGCTGCAGTATCAGGTCCTGCCCTGTGTGACCCGCTTGTCCCAGGCTCCAGGGCTGAGGTCAGTGGTAACTTATTCTGGGCTGGGCTCCCAGGTTCATAGGTGCCAGGGAGGAGGCACATCTGAGACGGCACTGCAGAGACAGAACATGGCAGGGCCGGGGTTTGAGAGAGGAAGGCTGGGGGTCCTGGGCCCGACTGTCGTGAGGAGCCATCCGTCAACACAGTCCTCTCACAGAGGGTGTGGGAACCACAGTTGTTTCACAAGCGCCATCACCTTCATTAGTCACAGTTCTCCACAAGTACCTGTGGGTCCCCTGGTGCCTTCACCCAAGTGATCACTAGTTCTTCTGTTTCCTTCTAGTCTTAGTTTAGTATCTATAACATTCAAGTCACACACCATACTTGACATGATGACAGATAAATGGGTCACAGAGAGACTAAAAAAGGGGGAAAGGGCCGCAGGGCTGCAGATGCTGGGCTGAGAGCTCAGGCAGAATCGGAGTCCATGGCAAGTCAGGGAGTCACTGTAGGTAGCAGAGAAAGGTTTCAAGACCCCATTCTGCAGAGTTGTCAAGGCCAGGGTCTGGATGGACACCAGTGTCAGAGGACAATAGCCCGCCAGAAAGGGGACACTTCCTTCAGTGGGAACCTGCCCCCAGGTGATTCCATGGCTTTGGTTGGGGCAGCTGTGGATGTCCAGGCCAAGGCTGGTGGTCAGTGGGGAATGGGTGCTGTGGCACGTGTTGTCAAGTGTAGGAGAAGCCACTCTGAGCTGGAGCTCAGGGATAGAGTTGGAGGTTCCTCTCTGTGAAAATTTTCCTGGGCAAGGTTGTGATGAATGACTAGGTGACAGGCTCAGGGTGCTGCCATGCCCACCTTGGGAGGCTCCTCCTTTCAAGGGTCTCAGGTGAGGGGTTTCATCTGGTGAGGTAAATAAGCTTCTGCTGCTGATGCTTCTGAAATAATTTGGGATCCCCAAATGTCCAGGTGTTCCTGGGCATGAATAAGGCATTTATCAGCTGGTGCCTTGTGGTGGGGCTGGGCCTCTAGGTGGTGGTGGTTCATGGGTAAAGACTAAGATGGAGTCGCTCATGGAAAACTTCTCCTTCACAAAATTGCATGAGTAAGGTCAGGCCCAGCCTGAGAACAGCTGCTCTGTCACCATGGAGTCCCCGGGGCGGGCGCAGCCTGTTCTCCACACGCATCTTATGAGCAGTGCTTCTCTGGGGTGAAGGATACCCACGTGTCCCTCCTGAGTGGACTGCAGGGCCTAAGAGCCACGTGGAGGGTTGGCTTGGGGGCCCCTCAGGCCAGGAGCCTTTGGCCACATTCTGAGCCCTGGCCTGCGCTCCCTGCAGTTACGGGATGGCAGGTTCTGTCTTGTGACTTTTTACGTGAAAATGAGAAGCAGTTTGTCAGCAGCCTGGAATTCCTCTCATCCCCTCACCTCCTCCTCAGCTGCCTTGGGGGGTTGATTCCTTTGTGCATCTGGGGCGATTGCTCTCATTTCCTCCCGCCAAGTGAGGAATAAGACACTGGTTTTTGCCAAAACTTGCCGTGGGAGCTGCCAGGATGATGTATCCGGAAACTGTGGTGAAGAAACTTTTCAAAAAAAAAAACAATCAAAGGGAGGTACGGGCGCTGGGGCCGGGGACTTTCCTCGGGCTTCACCCTCAAGGGCTGGACTTGTCTCCCCCGCCTGGCGCCCTCTCCATCAGCGCTGCGGGTGGCATGTCTAGGGGTGCTGCTGGAGTCGCCGGGCAGGACTGTGAGGACGAGTGAGAAGCAGGTTGTGGGCAGCATGTGGGCACACAGTATGCATGGGCTTCTGTCTGGGTGGCCTGGCACAGGGTCTGGGTTCCCCGCACAGTGGTTCCCATCTGCAGAGTCCAGCGGCAGAACCCACTGCCCACTTTCCACAGAAGGCAGGACCTCCACGCCCAGCTTCTGACCAGTATCATGACCAGGGGAGGAGGTTGCTCTCTGGACCAGTGTCTCCTGTCTGCTGCAAAAACAACCACACAGTGCATGCCATTTTAGGTATTCCATTTTAGGCATACTTCCTTCTCAGCTGGAATGAACCTGGAGGCAGGGCAGGTTCCTCTGGGGTCCTGGTATGACCCCTTCCTCGAGCCACACTGACCTCCTGCTTCCATGATGACAGAGTCCAAGAAAATCTCCCATCCGCACTTAGCCACCTGCAAAGTCCCCTGTGCCATGCAAGGCCACGTGATCCTGGCTCCTCAGTACTAGGATGGGGACTATGGACTCAAAACCTCAGGGCTATAGCCCGCCAGAAAGGGGACACTTCCTTCTGTGGGAACCTGCCCCCAGGTGATTCCATGGCCTTGGTTGGGACAGCCGTGGATGTCCGGGCCAAGGCTGGTGGCCGGGGAGCCGGTGTCTGCCCCAGCCTGGGCAGTCCTGGGTCGCCACAGGGCCTGTTTTCAGGGGACACTGTCTGCAAGGGTGGTCTCGTCAGGGTGCCCACAGGGTACGGCTTCACGGGGCGGAGGCTTCTGCAGTGCCCACACCTCCCTCCCAAAAGGGAAAGCCCCTGGCTAGATCTGAGGGGGCTTGGGAAACAGAAGACACACCCGCCAGGTGAGCAAAGGCCCGGGGTGGCAACGCCACCGTCCTGGGGCTCGTGAGGCTTGTGGAGGGCCTGGCCCTCAGTGCTGTACCCAGATGTGCCAGCAGCCCCCTGGGAATCCCTCTGTGGCTGATGCAGGGGAAGGCTTGCCGCAGCCCCCCACTGCGCTCTGCCTGAGGCCAGCAGTGCCCCAGCCCTTCTGGAAAGTTCCCTGTAGCCTGGAGACCAGGACCCCTGGCTGGGCTGGTTCAGAGCCCCTCCCTCCCCTTCCTGGTTGGGGAACCTGCCACCAGCCTCATGCAAGAAAAGACCCCTGTCTAGAGGAGGTTGCCCTGGACAGAGCAGGAGAAGATCCCCAGGGCCAGGCTGCTTGCCCTGGCCTCCTGGGGTCGGGACTTCCTAAGCAGATTCATGGCTGCCTTATCCCCAGCGCAGTGCCACTGAGCGGGACATGGGGTGGGTGGCGTTCCTGGGGGGCTAACGCTCTGTAATCAGGTCACACACAGCCGGTGGCTCCTGTCCCCAGACTGGCACCACCTTCTCAGTAAGGACCAGTTCTGGAGAAACCCTGATGCCCTGTGTTGGCCGAAGTGGTTCAAAGCCCTGCCCGTCCTCAGTTCAGGGGAGTAAAGCATGATGGGTGTGAAGCCCCCCCTCCTGTTCCCCACTTCAGTTTCCAGTGGACTGCGGTGGACTTCAGAGAGGAAGCGCCTGGCCTCCTGGCTTCCCATAGCGCAGTCTTAGACCTCTGGGGCTCCTGCCCCTCCGCATAGCCCTGAGGTGCCAGCGGGGTGGAAGCAGGGCCAAGGCCCTCCCGGGGCTTCTGCTTCGGGTCAGCAGCCCCCGGCAGGCGGCTTGAGGGCTGCCCTGACCTGTGGGCCAGCCCAGTAGGTGAGCCCGCTCTCCCTGGCCTGGGAGGTTCGGGGAGGCAGCCCAGCCATGCTGGGTTCTTTGAAGCTGCCAGCCTCTCACAGGGGGAGAAGCTGCGGGTCAGCGTCAGCGTGGGGGATGGAGCTCAGCAGGGCTTGTGGGGAGCGGGAGGGAGCTCTCTGCAGGTCCAGCTAGGGCAGAGGCACAGCTGCTCTGGACAGCGTGGCCAGAGCTCTGCCTGTGCGGGGGCAGCAGAAGAAGCAGCCC